ATTGGCTGCCATCGCTGCTGCTGCTGCTCCTGCTGCTGCTGCTGCTGCTGCTATCCACCCTGCATGCTGAGCTCCTCAGTGCCTGGCACCTTTCTTTCTGTCCTCTGAGCACCTGACATTGTCGTTGGTTTGAGGGTGTAACGATACTTTCAATTTCGATTCCATACATGACAGTCATGATATATAATATTGTCACAAAGCACCATAAACAAAAGAAAATAATGAAAACAATTAGGCTGGATTGGACATTCCTCTGGTAGCAGTCAATATTCTGTTACTGGGGAATAAAAATGTACCTTTTAAACATCACCAATATGTTTATTGAGTCACTACATGTTTTGTGGTGAAGTATTGTTACATGCCTGTCATTGAACATTTGAACATCTCTTTATTATCACTGTAAGTTTACATCATGTGCCATCATGATCCAAAAATAAAAAAAGACCCAAATAATTCAAACTCAAGAGCCACTTTTTCTTTCTGGTGGCATTTGTCTTGGAGCTTAAGGCTCTAAAAACAATTTCGTAGCTGAAGCAGCTAGGAATTTCTTGCTGTTTTTGAGTTTTACGATTTTTTTTTCAAAGTGAATACTAAAACTTGGTGCTCAGCAAGTTAATTTGAGGTTAAATGAAAATCTGCACACTGTTGGATCCGGATGACACATGGTTAAAACCTCAAGTTCACAGGTCAGATTATTATCAACATTATTTTTTAATAAAATCCCTTCTCCTTTTTATGTTCATCTGTGCTATCACAACTCGCAGTATGTGGAGAAAGTCTGCCCCCTGTTGCAGAGATGCACAAGTGTGTCTGACTGTGTTTAAGTATGCAATAAACATTTAGGGTTCAACTATTTTAAGTTCAAACACACAATTTGAAAAGAAATTCCTGAAGCCCAGATTATAGAGTGTGACTATGTGAATTTGAATGCTGCTTAAACACAGATTCCAGGCTCCTGACCTTCATACTTAAGTTATTATCATGCCTAAAAGGTGTTTATCCCATTGGTTTTATCATTTGTATTTTTGTTGGTTGCCTCACGGGTCATGTTTTTGTCTGAATTCAATTTATGTCAGCCATCAGTGGGAAGTGATTGCAATAGAAGTTTTGTGTTATCTGTTTCTTGATCACATTTCTTTTTGAGTTTTGTTTGTGTCTTGTCACTTTGCATCATATGTATTTGACTTTTAGGTGTTCTCCTTGTTGTAATTTCTAGGAGTTGTTTTAGGTGTAAAAATCAAAACAAACCTGTATTCAGACGATAGCACACACTAAAAGAAGAAACCGATTTTAAATCTCTGTCTCATACCAAGCTGAGGTGTTATTTTTAAATCTTTGAAATTATTTATAGCTGCGATTATTTAAATACATAGAGAAGTCCACCCTCAAGGTAAGTGGTATTAGTGGGATTATGCTAAAGAAATATTGCACTTTGCACTGATTAACTAAAGCCCCTTTCAGACATGCGCTCTTTTACGTTAATCTGACAGCATCTGAACTTGAGCATTGTGTTTTGTTATTGGGTAGTTTCACATGTCCAGACCGTCCTCCACAGCGCTGTGTCAGCAGCTGAAAGATGGTCTGACTGCAAAAAAATCAACACTCTGCAACAGGACAAAAGCTCTGGATAGTTTCTTTTAAAGGAATCATAATAGTGTTGGGCGGTGCTTAGCCCAGGATGCAGCAACAGTGTCCCTGCAAGTATTGATGAGAAAACTGTTTAGCTGGAACGTTTGCACGGTCATTAAAATGGCTTATTCACTGAAAGAAACAAGCAAGGCCTTATTGTCTAAATTACAGAATAAGACAGTCTGAAGCAGCAATGCTGCATGTCCCATGTCTGAAAAGGGCTTAGGTGTTCTTTTGACTTCCTATATCAAGATAATAGGCATTTCAAAATACATATTTAGCCTTAGACCTTATTTATATAATGATCATCATCAGTTATAAATGCACACTGACTACGCACTAAAAATGTTTCATATGATCTGTAAGTTTTCATGTGTCCTACTAATGAAGACAAATTGCAATAATACATCATTCTAAATAATAGATTGAGTGACATTCATCAATGTAAACAGTAGATAATAAATTGTTTTATCATTCTTTGTCAATGAAGCACACTGGTGTCTTTCTTTAATATAACTGGTAGTTTCCTGAGTTTATGGTGTTTCCCTCCATCTTCCACCTTCTGAAATTCAAGCTGACATTCAGTCATGTAGTTTTTGCAGCCACTGTGTTCTCCTGTGCCAGAAACAGACTGAATTGTGCTAAGCTCCATTTGCTTTGCAGATGTTTAGCCTACATAATAGGTGACAGGGGATTCATCGTTCCAACAAAGTATTCCCCATGAGTGAGGAGTCTATAATTGATGAATAATGCATAGTTGATGTTTCAAGGTCTGGGTCTGGGAACATTTTTGCACTGAAAATGAAGCCGCTGTGTAGAAGTGTGTTGTTTTTCTCCTCTTAGTAAAAAGCACTTGTTTTTTTTTGTCTCACTGCTCTGATGAAACTCCTCTCTTTACTTTGTGCTGAACCTTGTTTTAGGATGCCAAAGTAAGTGTTTCTCTTTTTTTTTTTCTGCCACAAATCACCAGTTCTGATGATTTTATGTGTTGTCATCCACAATTCCTAGCACATTTAGTGAATCAAAATCTGCATTAAAAAGTAAATATGCAACAAATAATTACTTGACATATGTAGACCAACTCCTTGAGCTCATCACGTCTTTTATCCTGCTTTCATTTTTATTTATTTTTATTTTTTTGCAAGTGTGTGTCCAGATGAATATTACAAATAAAGAGAAATGCAGCTTTTAGAACTATTTGTGTATCAAATCTCCTAATAGAACAATTGAACTAGAGTTGTGGGTTATTTAGTAAGAGCCCCTTCTTTTGTACCTCTACATGTATTGATATGATTTAATGTAAATATAAACTGTGGAGCTTGTGACGACTTGAGGTGCTCATGGACTGTATATAAAGATGGATGAACTCTTCATGACATCACCCATATGGTTCCTGAACAGCAGTTTTGAAGCTCAGTGTGGCGGCTCAAGCTGTCGCTGTGTTGGCAGTGCCCGTCTAACTCCCAGCTAATCCAAAAATGAGCAAGGAGATGGAGGATTGGAGCCGAGGCAGGGCATTAAAGCATCTCTGGGTCATGTACCATCCTATGAAAGCACTCCTCTGTCAGTGAAAGCAGCCATCAAATCTCTCCCCCCGCCCAATACAGTTGCCATGCACAGGAAAGTTAGAAACAAAGCTTCTTTTTTTTTCCAGGCAGTGAACAAGTTTATTTCTGCTGTATAGTTAGACATTTTAACATGGCAGTCTATGAGGACTGCCCCGCTTTTAGTGCCAGCCCCAAGTGGCCACTCAGAGAACTGCAGGTTTTGCTTCATTTTTTAAGCTGCCACTTGGGATGTTTCTGTTTTGTAAGAGTTTGGCCCCAATTGTGTTTATATTGTGCACATGCATACTTACACTGCTGCTGTCAGTGCCCAATACTTGTTTCTTTTACATAAAGTATGTATTGAAGCTGTCCTCACAAAGTATGTACTGTTTATTGCAGTATGTATACAGTTGCAACATACTGCAATGGTCATAATACTGTGCTTTAAGCTTTCACTTTTTCACTCTCGCTGGTTCAGACTTATTTAAACTTGTGGAGACACCACAATGTCTGTCTTGCTCAGAGAACTGTGAGTCAGAATGGCTAGAAAAGCATGATGGCCTGGAAACTGCAAAATTTGACTACATGTCGTAGGATATCTGTGTATTTCTTGCATGTTGCATTTGACATATTGTATTAGGACATCATAAATCTTTTTGTAGCATACTATATAGTATGGTAGTATAGATACTGGAACACACCCAAAGCTTCTGGGTCTTAAATAATAGAAGCCAATGTGGAAGTGATGTAAACTGGCATTATTTCTGACAGCCAGCAGGGGGTGACTTTTGGTTGCAAAAGAAAGTTCATTTGTGTAAAAGCCTATAAGACAATGACCCGATTTCTCGCTTGATTTATTACATTAGTAAACATTTTTCTAATGAGATTACGGTCTCAATGGCTAGTTTCAAGTCTCCTTCAATATAGCATGATGCTGATTTTATAAGTTATGATCCCATATAAAGTAAAATAGAAAATGAAGCAGGGTATGCTTTAGGCTACCATATGATTGACAACTTGCTGCTGTGTGGCGTGTGACTTGCCCTCAAGTTCTTGGTTGGATCTTCTCCTCCCTTGTCAAGTCTGGTTTCAAAAGACCAAGATGGCAACGGCCAAAATGCCTTTTGAGGCTTCAAAACCACAGCCCACAAACCACTGGGTGACGTCATGGTGGCTATGTCCATGTTTTATGTGCAGTTTATGGCTTGGCTGTAACAAAAATAATAAACCAGCATAGCAATGCACTCACAAAAACAGTAAAGAAGAAGAGCTAGCAAACATGGATTTAAACAATGAACAATTGAAAATGTACAAGGTTTTGGCTTTGCAAAGGTTATGAGGAGGAAAATGCACTCAATGTTTGTCAGGCTGGAAGGATACACACAGTGTATTTAGGTGAAAAATTCTAAATGAAAATAAAAATGTTTACAAATACCTTTTACTTTTCTCTGTCAAATTCCCAAATTTTAATAAGAATTTGTAGGATGAACTACACTACAAGCCGACCCTTTCACTTCACATGTATGAAATTTAATTCAGTGTTAACATCCATGATGCCAATCAGTTTGAGTTGTGCACCATAAAATCCGAAAGCACTGATTCAGAATGTGATGTGTTAACTGAATGCTTGTCATGTCTTTAAAACATCCCCCCACCGCTGCTGCCACTGAGGCGGTGGTGACATTACAGCAGATAAGTGGTGCTGTCACACTGTTTGTGAGTTGTGTTTGTAATGAGTGTGTGTCTCACTGAGTGTGTGTCTCACTGAGTGTGTGTCCCACTGATCGCTTCACTGGAAGCTGAGCTTCTTCTCTCCCTCCACAGGAAGCAGAGACCCCTCGCAGCGTACTGGAGGAAATTGGACTGACATAAACATTGTCCTCATCAACATCCACTCGCCACACACTCCATCATGTGCCAGCTACTCTGCTGTATGTAGCTGATAACCACTCACATTCATCTCAGAGCACTCACACACACACACACACACGCACACACACACACAACATGGTTTTCCCGTGCATCGATGTTCTACAATTCATTTTTTGTACTGTTTTGAAAGACAATGTAGCACTGTTTGTGTATTTCCTGCTGAGTTATTTATTTGTTCTGTGTGATGACAAACAGAAATGCAGCATAATTAAGCTTTATGCTGCTTTCCTGTCTCACTCAGATGCTGTACTGAGTGGATTTCTGCTTGATTTTGATTTGACCAAAGCTAATATATTCTGTGAAGCAAAGTTCTGAATTTCAAATATGTAAATCAAACCTAGAGAATAGGCTATATTATATTATAAAGGGAAGTCAAAAGTATTACATTAACAGAACCAAAGAGTTGTTTCATCTCATATTTGTTTCTTCAACACTGTATTGTGGTTACACTGAACTTCTTTGTCATTTATTATAGATTCACTGTACTTATATTGTATTGCACCACTGCAGTCTAACTTGACTGTGCAGTGGCTTAAAAAAGAAAATATCTCTTTTTTTAAAAAAATGAGTATTCTCTCAGTTTACAGGCCGTTTTCACTCCTATAGTCTGACTGTTTGGTCTATTGGTTTCTAATGGCAGATCCCACTCAATGTCGAATGCCTTAATCACTGATTGATGTCCATATCTGAAAAGAGAGACTATATATTAATATTGCATAAGAGAAGCACTTGCATGCCACTGCGATGTAGCAGGTAAATACACTGATCTGATTTTATTCATGTGCAAGAACTGTGTTCTTCTGTTTACTACTGTGATTCTCTTTTACTTATTTTATGGAAACATTTCACTGAACAAAAGTTGCAACAAAAACTGATGTCACACACAGTAAATACTAATTATTGTAGAAGCTGAATTATTCCATTTTTGGGCACAAGGTTGCAGGAGAACAGGTGGTAGACATTTTCATCCTGTCACAATCATGTTGTAGACTTCAGGGGGGACACAGGGAAGCATCCCCCTTGTCAAATAAAGACATTAAAGAAGTAGAAGACTTTTATTTTGAAAAAACTGCTGTACAATTACTGTTAGATGCAGACAGAGTCTTTTTTTTACTCTCAGACAAGGAATTATGAGCTCATACAACCACTAAATGAATTGTTAAAAACAAAATTAGAATTATATATATATATATTCCATTATGTTTTGAATTAACTGGTGCCTAAATATTGTGTTTCCTGAACATAAATAAAGATATTTCCACTATAAATTAAGGCCAAAATTAAACCAACTGGTGCATAACAATGTGTTAATGTGCCCCAGCCTCCATATACAAATGAAAGCTGTGCCCATGATATAAGTGTCTTCGTCTCTTGTAGCTCTGCTCTCATCTCCTAATTAAATCCTGAGAAAAATACCTGAATTTTTACCACCGATAGTTTTATTTTCTTCCCCAGCTAGTCACTGAGGCCTTGTCCACACGTACATGGATATTTCTTTCAAAATGTACACTTTTTTCCCCCTGTTTTTGTGTATGTTTTGGCCTTTTGTCCACATGGAAAAGCAGATTTAGATCACTGAAAACAGACCTCTTGAAAAACTCCTGAAGCCTGACAGAAACTCTGTTGGCAGTGTTTACTTGTATCCAGGGACTTCTGGACTTCTGACACAGAGTTTGTGCAACTTTGTTTACACGATTATGGGATTGTGTGTCACGGTGGAGGTGGGCAAATTATTGCTGGTGCTAGCCTTGCTAACTTTTTACATGTTTACACGTAAATGTACTGTTATTCTACCACTACACTGAAGAACAGAGGCGTCTGAATCAGTCTACACATACGATGCACTGTTGCTGGTGGTAGCCTACCAAAACCACTAGTAGCTTTTTTCAGGCTTCTGATTGGCTTTAGGTTTACAGGTATAGCACCACTTTTTGGTTGTTGATACCCTTGACATCACTTCAAATTGTGTTTTTTTGCGTTGTCATGTAGAGAGATTTTTGTAATGCATACGAGTGGACTCGGCCTAAATTTGCCACAATGCTTAGTAGTATATGGAGTAGGAATACTGATTAGGAGTAATCAAGGAGACTGACAGCTGACATTTGAAAACAATGTAGATTTGCCGTAAAGTGAAACAACTGGTGTCAAAATGTTTAAATTACACAAACTAGTTGAAATGTGTCTAATTGTTATGTTTTAAATATGTTTAAACAAAAGAGAACTTTTTTAATATTCACCTTTCAGTGTTGACAGTAGATGTTAGATGGGAACAGGACCCAATAGTGACACCGAAAATTGAAAAAATGCCCAATATCAGACTGATAATTGACTATCAGAGCTTGTTTGCTGCTGCTGGAACAGTGAGAGTGGCAACTACACAGTAAATTTACAGCAGTTCAATCAAAACTAAAAGCTAAAGAATTAATCACAGTTTCCTTCTTTTCCTATACTCTGTAATAAACAGTATTAAGGAGCAAACCTGCCCTAATCATACAGAACAATGACCATCTGTGCATTGGGAATTCCCCACCTTTTTGCACTGTTTACAGATGTTTTCCTTTTTTAACCTCCTGGGGGCCCATAAAGACTCTGCTGTAGTGACATCTCCCTCACTGCCACGTTGTTTCACCTGTTACAACTCAACCACTTTGTCCAACATTAATTCACTACAACACAGACACCATCTTATCATAGTTCCACCCGACTACAACCTGAGCAGAGGCCATGGAGGATCAATTGAAAACTACTTTGTCAAAGCCGTTTCACTGTCCATCCTACACTGCTAGTTATTTAGTATAAATCACACAGAGTCTCTGGCCTGTGAAGCCACACATACAGCCGCCCTCAAATTTATTCATTCCCTCCCATTAAAGAAGGAAAAAAACAGCTGTCACTGAAATCAGTCAAAATAATAATAATTTTTTTTTGATGCAAATCATAGCATTGCTTTTAAACTGTGGTCCAATATAAATATTAAAAAACAAAAACAAAAGCCAAGCAAACAAGCATGATGGGACCGGTAAATTAATATTTTGTTGAACAATCCTTTGAGGCAATCACTGCAATCAAGTGTTTTCTGTAACTCTCAGTCAGACTTCTGCATCTGTTGACAGGAATTCTGGCCCACTGCTCATCAGCAAAGTGCTCTAATTTTTCCAGGACAGTTTTTTTAAAAATTATTATTCTTTTCAACCACAATTCAAAAGAAATGTCTTATTTCACTAAATTATAATTCAGCACATTTTTTTATTTATTGTTACTTTTTTCAGTTTCCACTTATTTGAGTGACTACTGGGAATTTTGCCTTTTCTTTAATGGAAGGGTCTGAATACATTGGAGGATGACTGTAACACACTGTAAAGCATGTAAACTACCTATTTATTACTGTGACTGGGGGGAAAAAAGTGATAGTAAAATAAAATAGCAATAGTGTTATGAACCCTTGCAGATGATTTTTTAAATGTACTAAAACAGTCATTTACAGCCACTGAGATAAACAAAATAAACTTTCCACACTTATATACACATTAAATGCCTTGGACACAGGACTGTACAAATATCGTAAACTGGCATTCAATCTGTATTCTATGTTTTCTTGCACTATACTGTTTGTTTGAACCAAAACTGTTCGAATGATATCTTATTCACTTTTTTTTTTCCATTTTGCAACTTCTTCTATATATCACAACTGTTTTACATGTTGAAGTAACTCCTGCCACTTTTCTATAACTTCATATTATCATTTTCATGTATACTTGACCGTGTGTGGTTTACTGTATCTCAACGGCGTGACTGAATCTATTCTATATTGTGTATAAAGTGAAATATACAGTAGCTACAGCATGAGTGCAGCACAGCCTGTGTATTACATTACTGGATTTTGTGTTTACTGTTATCAGCGTCTGCAATGGTCACAAGAGGAAGGTCATGTTTTCTTGTCAATTCAGCAATAAAGAGCACTCCAGGGGCAGAGAGACTGTCATAAACAGCTTGTTTCCTCTCATTCATTCTGCGCTGGTCACACAAGGATCCAACTGAACTGTTTTACTGATGAAAATTTGGATTAAGACAAGGAAAAGCAAGACTGACGTGCATGAGAGAAAGACACAACAAACTGGATGTAATAATAAACTTATTGTTTAATAAACTGTAGAGACATATACGCTGCAGTTTTTATAAGTATGAACACAATACGGCAGGTAAATAGGAAGAAGTGTGCTTGTTTTGGACCATCATGTTTCCATGACTACATTTTATCATCATCCACAGAGAAGAATCACAAAAATATAAACGTTCAGTCAGCCACTGAATACTTTTGCTGTTTCTTTACATGAATAAAGACATTTTCACAATAAATTGTAGAAGAAAGAGCACAAATTGGTGCATAAAAATTAACAACAATGCAGGAAATTACATGTTTCATGCTCGTATTTCCTGATGGAGGAACTCCAGAGCCCCACTTATTGTGATCTCATCAATATTCAAATAAACCTACATCCATGTACGCTGGCTTGCTGCTTTTGCCTTACTTGGTCTGATGTGACCAGTAGCTTATGGTGGCTAATGCTAACAAACTTTACACAGATATCGGTGTGTTACAAATATTGCAGAATCAGTTTGACTCTTTCGCTTTAGCCTTACAGTACTTCTATCATTTACCGTTATCTTTTACCTGTTTTCAGTCCTCTGTTAAGGCTTCCCACAGTATCACATTATAAACTTCAGATGCAGAACAATTTCTTCTCCACTATTTACCTGTAAAAAACTATTCAGGCTATAGAACTTGTGCTGAAATGTTATTGAAATTCAGCTGTAATTCACTGAGGTCCAGTGTCGTAATAAATCATGACACAGTTTCTGACCTTAAAGGTGTCCTTCAGACAGTTTAGGTTGTAGGAGTCTAGGTAATTCCTCTAACTGTCCTCCTTCAGCATCTCTTCAATCTCTCTGTCCCAGTTGTCATCACGGTTCTCATTATCAGCCAACACGTCGTACTCCTGAAGCTCCTCCTGCAGCTCTCGCTCCCAGTCCGCAGTCTCCTCTGAAAACAACATTAAAAAGCAACAGTGAGTCACCTATTAAACTCTGGCAAGCAGCTCTACAAATATGCAACAACCCAGTTAAAGGCAAAGACTGACCCTCCTGTGTGTCTGGATGTTCCCTCTTGTCCAGAACCAGCTGTTCCATTTCTTTGCGCAGATCGGCCTCGTTTATCTTGCATGAGTCAAAGGCATCGCTTACAAATTCAGACACGGGCGGACTAGTGGAGATCTCCTCTTCATCCTTTCGTAACACAAACAGAAGGTCATCTTACTCACACTTATCTGAGTCCGATCACTGTCTAAGAAGGATTTTTCTTGCATTTATTATTCTATAAAAACAGATGGCTTACCTCCCCTGACTTTGGTTTGGTTCTGTGGATGGCTGGGGGAGTTTTCCGTTTAACTACATCTGCAAGAATAATTGTTTGGAATCATATCACGTGTATATGAGGAAAAAAATAGGTGGTATTCATGCCTTCTCAGTATATATGGGATAGTTTCCCTACTACTGCTTGAACATTACTTTTACTCAGACGATGTGACAAAACCAAAGGTAAAATACTATGTTTGAAAAAGGTTAACTCACTTCCCTTTTGTCTCAGAAGCATTTTGTGTGACAAGCTATGAATTGAAAGAACTTGTGTTACCCTTATGATGAGGATCCTCATGACTGGAGTCAGTTTTCTCCTCGTCCCTCCGCTCGGCAGCCTGCTGCGCTGCAAGAGCTGTGAGCTGAGCTGACTGCTTTATCAAGGACACACGGTAGAAGTAATTCTTCCAGAAGACTTCCTCTTTCACCCTAAAAAAGAACCCCACAGAGGACAAAGGTAATCATCACTGTTGTGAAAGGAAACTAAATTATTTTTGCTTTTAATAAATGCCCTTTTATGCAAGGATTCACATTATATAAAACAATAAAGGTTATATGTAAGTAAAACATTCTCACTCTTTGGGGACCAGATGGAAGCGCATCTTCCTCAGGAGCTCATCTTCCTCCAGCATCACCATGGCGACTGGATACATTTGCTCAAAGTCAAAGTGAAATTGCACCCCAGCAGGAGGATCTCGCAGAAAATTTCTTTTGTCCTGCCATCAAATGAAACCACACAGCGAAGTTAGATTTGTTCTAGCATTACAGAGATGCACAATTATGCTGTTTTTCTTCATAAAAGAATTGCTTTATAAGGACACTCACAGCTGAGAGGGCTAAGATCTGTTGCTGTATGGTTTCCTCTTCATTATAACCTACCCATGGTGGCACAGCAGCACCTAGGAAGAATGAAAACTGGCCTGTAGTTACTGTGAAGTAAATACACTTACATGTTATACAGATGTGACCAAGTACATGTTTTTTTTTAAAGTTAAGTGACCAATTTAAAGATGCACAAAAATCAGGGTGAGGCTTTCTGCATCATCATTCTTCTTCATAATCAGTTTCCGGTTCACACGTGTGGCTGAACTACTCCGTATTTCTATCTATCTATTAAAACTTGTCATTGTGTAGAGTAGTTTTACAGTGTTTGAGCAGAGTCGTAGGTGAGCTGGTGTGCTCGAGCTAGGAGTGGTAATTCATAGATGTGTACATTCTAAAGGGCATCACTATGTAGAGCTACATCTAAGTCGTTTAAAGGCAGGAAGGGGTTATTTTCATTGAGGAAAACTTTAAAATATAAAACTTTGATACACAGAGATGGGTTTTTAGGGGGTTTATTGGATGACCAGAGAAGGACTACAAATCTAGACACACGATTTCAGAGTTCAGAAGTACTTACCAGACTTTTTGGCCTTTTGCTCCTGAACAAACCTTTCTTGTTCTTTTTGGAAATCACCCAAAATGGTCTGTGGGAAGAAAAAATTTCCTCAAATATTCCAAACTTATTTAGTACAAATATGGGATGGAAATAATTTCAGTAACAGACAGCGAAGCTCTTTACCTTATCAATAATTCCATTAATCTTCCCCTCCTCCACACTTTTCTTCAAGTTTTGTGCTGTTTCAACGACGGATTCAGACAGTTTCTTTGAGGCACTGCTGGCAAAACTATAAATGTAACCTGCAAAGAAGTCAGCATATTAAACATTACTGAGGTTACGTTTATTTTACATGGAACTAACCACGTTCAGCAGGTTCCCCAACTCAAATCAAAAGCGACAGGGCTTTATTGGGTTCCTGTTCCACAAGAAATTCTGTCCCACCATTAGCAATTTCAAACCAAAATTAAAGTTTCTTTTTCCCCCACTGCTTTAGTTCCTCCTGAAGCAGTCCGAGTCATGCCCACTTGCATTGTCTTTTATCGCCCTGTTGTTTTGTACTGATCAAGTGGTTGATTTTCTTTTATGCTTTAGCTTTCTGCTGGTCGAGGCAGATGGCTGACCTTCTTGAACCTGGTTCTGCTGGAGGTCTCCTCTTGTTAAAAAGGATTTTTTTCTCTCCACTGTCTCCTTTATGCTTGTATATTGGGAATCTTTGGATTTCTCACGTACAGTTTTGTACATTCTCAGCCTTATTTTTTTTTTTTTTAATTAGTCCGATAATCTGTTGGGAGTAAATAACATTGTAGGATCTTCGCCTCATTTTTAAATTAATCAACAAACAAAACTGTAGGAACTTAACCTTAACATTACATATGTTAAATCCAAACTTGTTGGGTAAATTTGTAATGCCAGTCTAATTTCTCTACTAGAAAGCTGTCTAAATTAACTAGAGTGGCAACGATTATTTGATCATTTGTCAACTACTTAGTTAATCGGCCACTATTCTGGAAATAGATTAATCAATTTTAGCGATGTTTATATGAAGTAGTAATGTTTTCTGGTTTCTTTCCTCTCAACGACAATAAAGCGATTACATATTTAGGTTGTGTACAAAAACAAGACATTTGAGGACTACATCTGTTACTGATGAAATACTGGTCGACATTTTTCACCCTGTTCTGACATTTTATGGATCAAACAACGAGTTGATTCACAGAGAAAAGAATCTACAGATTAATGGACGATGACAATAATCGTTCGTTGTTGCCCCAAACTCAGGGGCTGTTGGTTTACATGTGCTTTAGAAATAACGTTGACTTGACGTGACAGTGTGTATTACAGATCGTTTAGAACAAAGTCTATCGACTTTACTTACCACTGAGGCCCTGAGCTTTTTGGAGAAGTTGATCATCTTTCTCAGCAGCACTGGTCTGCTCACTTTCAGCCGTAGGTTTGTTTACTCCACTGCTCTCGTCTTTATCAGCATCAACAATAGACTCGGTTTCTTCCTTAACTTGGCCATTTTCGTTTTCTAAACCGAGCCAGGTCCCCAAGTTCTTAAACATACTGTAAATGTTATGCCTAAAAAGTTAAAAATAAGTCCTTTAACATGCTCTAGTGGTGGTTTCTAGTTGTATAAATGTAGATGTTTAGATAGTCGAAACTAAAGTTTTTCCTGGTGACGTTTCAGTACTCACCCACTTCCGCGAATCGGTCAGTTTGACCCTGCTGACTACCCTTAGGTTAAGAAGTTGTCATGGGAACGAACGCGCTGCTCCAAAGTTGCTTTAAGCTAAGTTACCATTTAGTTTAATTGCAAAGTATTGCGGTTAGTTATATGTAACCCTCCTGAAATAAATGTTTCAGCTTCAGTTTCTGAGTAAGAATGTGTTTATATTTGACGGTAGAATATTTCATAGGGAAATATGGCCGTACTTGCTAGCTAACAGTAGATGGCACGCTTGCGCTGCGTTTCGCTACACTTGTTATCCCTGTTGTCCATGGATGGAGCTAGTTTTAGCTTAGCTAATTTAAACTCTCCTGAGTGTGTCAGTGTGTCGTTCTCGACTCGTATCATGAAGTAGGATACAGACAGACCTGCTGCGTTTTAAACCGTGAGAATTACCGGTGAATTACTCGAAACCGTTCGCACAGTTTGACTACAAGTGACTCTATTTGAAAGTATAAACGCTTCCAAAAGATGAAGTATGTGTAACGTAAAGCTGGGATATAGCTGCGTGCCACCCCGAAGAGGCTTTCGTGTTCACCGGTTTATCCAAAAGTTGAATTGCCAGGTAAGGTCGGCTGTTTCAGTACGACTTTTGTTCTGTTTTTGTGATAAAGCTGTGCTCCTCACTGAGTGGAGAAGTTAATTAATTGATTGTACATGTTTCGCACGAAGATTGGGTTACTTATGTAGAACAGCAGGTCTGTTTAACTCTGCTCAGTTTGGCTTATTTCTTGTTGAGGGTCGTTTCCATTGTGCTGCTCGACAGCGATACTGTGTTTTTTTTCTGTTGCCTTTAAGATCATTCAGTTTAACTCAGTCAGTCCGCAGTGTGACAACAGGTGTTTACGCAGTGTTAAGGTTTCCTGAATTAGTCACACAAGGCTTGGTTTGATAGCATACACACGGAGGCAAAGCGCCTTTCATGACAAGCGAAGCTACTAAATGAACATCCACATCTTAATTTAATGTCTTTACGAGTAGTTCGTTTCACATTAAAAGCATTGTAACTTCTTGTTTGCGACAGTCCAGGCAGAAAAATGTTTTTGTCTTAATTTACCTGAGTTTTTTTTTTTTTTTTTTTTTTTTTTTTTAAACTAGGCTTTAAAAATGTAATTGAAAATAAGTGAACGGCCCATAGTCCTTCCAATAATGAGAGCAGCTGTGTTAAAATATTAATAAATAACCACTAATAAAACATTTTATATTTTTATTCCAAAAAGTAAACCTTACATTTTCCCCCCTAAAGGCTAACTGTCAAGAGCTGTATTTAAATATCCTTCTAATCCTAATGCAATGCCATCCTTCTCTGGTATTCAGACTTGTTCTTGCCCCTTATATTACAACAGTGCCCAGAAGCAAACCTACATTTCATTTACTCACAGCTTTTCTGTCATTCACTGTTTAATAGCCATGTTTGAATATAAATTTACCATATTATTCAGCAATAACATGCTGTGTTTTTTCTTTTGTTTCAACTAATATTGTCACTGGTGCCAGTTTTAGCCTACACTGTACAAAAGACAGCTGACTACTAATGAGCCGTTAAGCTTAGCAATACCAATGCAGCAACAAATAAAATGTAATTATTTGTTTGAAATGATTATGGACAGCATTCTCTCATTCCTACATTTTGCTCAAAGCCACTGTAATGAGAGGGATTTGTGCATAAATACTATTCGATAAAGACTTCAAGAAATATTTTAAGAGTGACCATTTTTTAATGTTATTGAAAACTAGTTTTTTTTCCTAGAGGCGAGAGCCTTACTTAAATGTGAATTTTATCCAAGTGTGATGACAGCCTACATTGTCATCTATACTTATGTGAAAAATATATATATACATGTCTCTGATATTGTTATAGTGTGCAGAATCAACCCCAAATTCCCTTTACCCAATAGCTTTTTGTTTTCTGTTAGGCTCTGTTAAATGGCTGGTTGTTTGAATCAGGGCTGCAACAAATGATTATTGTCACTGTCAGATAATCTGTTGGTGAAAAATGCTAATCAGTACTTCCCAAAAACCTATGATGCCATCCTCAAATGTCTTGTTTTATCCATGTCCCAAAGATTTTTAGTTTGCTGTCATAGAGGAGGCATGAAACCAGAAAATATTAAAATTTAAGAAGCTGGAATAATGGAGAATTTAGAGTTTTATTTCTTAAAATAAATAAATAAAAATTGATGTATCTGTTATCAAAATACTAATGAATACTAATGACAACTAATCAATGAAGAAATTAATTGTTGTAGCTCTAGTTTGAATATAAGCTCACTAAATTACTTTTAAAATTAACATTTTCTAAAAGCCCACATTTTGTTTAGTTTTATTTACTAGTGTTTATGTTTTGTAATAAGTTAAAGCAGTCATCTGTCGCAGTGTTGACGTTTAATAAGAAATACAACATCCTGTCTAAAGCAGAATTAACAGTTTGTATCACATAAAAGACAGACATACAAAAACAGACACAAAGAAAACAAATGAATCATGTGACGAGAGTTAGGATAAATAATATGTACAAATAAACATTTATCAGTTATAGGCTGTAGTCAGACTACAGTCTGTAGTTTAGTTTTCAGGCTCTAGTGTGCTTCAAAAAGATATGCTTTGTATGTGAACCCAGACTGTGATGAGTTTTAAAAGTGATCAGTAAAACCTTGATCATTTTTCAAACTGACTGTCAGTCAGCGTGACAAAGCTTTCTGCTGAGCTGTCTTTTCAGTTGGAGTTCTAACTGAATGTTATCAGCATACCACTGGCACAGAACATGCTCAAAGGTTATATGCCTTATATATGTGCTTGTATTATTTTAGAAGACGTGCTTACTATTATGTGTTGGACATACTTTAATGCTCTTGTTTCTTTACTGTCATAACAGTACAATGGATGCCGAGGGATATAAAAATGATCCTCGCTGTACAGAAGCAGAGAACTTTTGGCATGTGATGCAGAAATCAGGAGACCTGGATCAGAGGGCCAGAGATGGTGAGGGCTGGAAGCTGGTGGATGTATTTCTTTCAGGAGGTGCCCCGTGGGGGTTCACGCTCAGAGGGGGACTGGAACACCGGGAGCCACTGCTCATAACTAAGGTAAATAATTGAAACGACTCTTTTTAAATCAAATACAACTGAGAATGAAGATGTTGTGTGCAAGGTTGTTCATTGGAGAGAAGGGATTTACCCGTCTGGTTATAACACAGGCCTATCATATTTCTTTTTGTAATCAGAATGTTAATTGGCATTCAAAAAAAGAGTAGATTGTTGATATGTCTCCCTGCACACCCCCAGATGTCCATCCTATAAAATGAAATTTCCATTCCTTCCAGTCATTTTCTTCGTTTAAAACCTTTAAGCTTACCAATTTAATGACCTAAAGCTGCAGGAATATGAGTCAGAAGTGTGCATTTTACTGTCAGTGTGCAATTACATCAACATCAGCTGCTCATTAACTACTCAAATGTCTCTCCTCATGTAAAGCTCCTCGCCATCATTCTGCACTACAAGATGCCAAACAAATTACAATTTCAGATATTTCAAATTCACAAGACCTTTAACGTGATGCCGCAGGTGATGGTGCCTGGCAAAGTTAAACATTGCTTTCTGTGTTTTGGCAGTAGTTGCCCAGACCAGCTAAGACTATAATTTTACCAGTTGCCGTCATCTAATGAAGCACAAAATGCTGACTGTTCTGACACCTGAAACATTACTGCTTACTGGCAAACATGTTGCTGGGCATTTTTCTTGTGTGATGCAAGAGAATAAAATAAAACCTGGAGAAAAAGAGAGGATGATGTTATACTAATTTCATTATTGTGAACACACTAATATGAGCTGGATGTTCATAGCCATGCTAGTGGAGTACAATACCAGACTCTTGGTTGGTTGGTTGGTTCAGTTTTAACTCTGCTGCAATGGCAACTACAGTATGCAAAGGAAGTAAGGGAATTTCATACTGACATTTTCCAGTTTCTAGTGAAATATCTCAACATCTAGAACATTATTTGACACAAAATGTAGTGTAGAGCTTTATGGTTGCCAGATAATGACATTTCATCTAGTGCCACAATCAGGTCCTAATTTCAATTTGTCCAGTACTTTAATTTATGAAATAATGTCATTCCCAATCAGCTTCGTTTATGCTTCATGTTTTAAACTGTTGATTGGAGATGCCATTACTAACATATGCCGGTAATTTTTTTATAGTAATTGCAGAGAACATTAGGTGTCTCCTGAAACTATCACATTATTATACCTACTCTTATCACGATGGCCTACTGGCAGTTGCAGACATAAAATAAAATGCTTTTTTAAATTTACATATACAGTCGGCAAAGTAAGAAAACTAATTCATCTTACATACAAGACATGCCACTTTTAGTTTGATGTAGCATTTTCTGATAAATCTGTGAACTTGAAGCCTAATACTACTACTAACAACAACAGCAATAATAATAATAACAATTTGAAATTACTTTGGCACATATGTCCATATAATTTTAATTCTAACTATCTGCTTTTTTCAAATTTCATTTTCACCAAAAACATGTAAAGATAGAGTTTTTAAAATTCTTATTATTTTTGTAAATTTTTTTGCTGTACTCTGTACCAAACAAACATAGTCCCTTAAGGGTGGAGAGAATGATTTGTAGGCCAGGACATGTTTGTAGCACCACCATGCCACATTTCTAATGGTATGTTATGACACATTTCACCTTTTATCAAAAAAATTGTAGCTCCTATAATTCTGGTATTGCACTCATTTTGCCATTTTGTGATTTTAGCAATAATTTTGAGTAATTGTTCAGCCTTGCTATGGACTCTGTGATGCCTGCATTTGGGCATGTAGCTACTCTACGGAGAGAGTGTTAACCGTGTCCTTTCACATGTGATCTCTCAATCAAAGCATGTTCCCAAACCATTTGGCACATTCGATGGAATCTGTAGTGAAAAAAGTTTTACCTG